ATATCACTTAATTTGTCTGAGTGGGTTAAAGGTAAGTGGCTATTGCAGTTTCTGCATTAATGATTTCAGTAAAATTTGCGTTGCATCTTTAAACTATGTGGTTAGAAAGCTCCAGCTTTACCTGTAGCTCTCAGATTAAGCTTAAATTATTAAAAATTAATATACAGTCATTGTTCTACTGAAAAAAACCCCTTTCTCTTAAAATACTACTTAATTAGAAAAACTTACATATTCTAAAATACACGACTGACGTAAGCGCTATGTGTGACTGGATTGAGCGATCTGGCACCGGTGCATGCTGATGATAAAAGATGACTTGTGCCCTGTTGAGAATGAATTTGTCTAGCTAAACAGCAACACTTGGGCTTTTCTGGGTCTTCGAGAGACTGTCAGAAATGCCAGTCTTTGGTTCAACAGACCTTTTAGTGAATATTGGTTTTGTGGAGCTGTATTTCCGCTGCTTATTCCCCAGTCTCATATTGTCCTGTCACAGTTTCAGCATTCAGGCTTGTGAGAACAAATTAATGTTTGCAGGTTGCTGGAAATAGCTGGGAGTATGGCTTGGTTCTGTGCTATTGAATGTGCTTTCAATGTGTCAAAATGATTAAGAAGGTATTACTTTCTTATGCCTGTTGAGGCAACAAAGCATTGTTTCATTGAAAATCTGCTTTCCTGCTTCTACTGTTTTTCCCCCCTTTCAGTTCTGGTGGGAATTTAAGCAAAACTGGTCCCTCCTCGCACAGTCATGTATAAAATTTTTGATTACTAAGGAATTCCATTTGTATCTGAAATAGGTCTAAATTCGGGTGCTCTGTAGGGGCCACTAAAAAACAAGGCCAAGGTAAAAGCAGTTTTCTTTCTCTGAGTTGCGTTTGTAAAAGGCTTTAAAAGGGAAATGAAGATGAATTGTGCTATTTATGCTTCTCTGTTAGAAGTTACAATGTTTTTATGCCTTACTGTGCGTAAAACAAATGGAAATCACACTGTGGTTAGGAAAGGGAATGATCTACAGGAAAAGGAACTAAGTTCTGATACTACAATCCAGTTTCTGTATTGGTAAACCGATAGGCATTCTCCTGTTGGATTGTAATTGTCAAGGATATCCTAAGGAAGTTAGTTAAATCTCTTGGAGGAGAAACACGTGTTCTAGGAAATGGCTCTGCATTGCGGTCTGACATCGGCCAGAGATGCTCACGTTCAGACCTTGGTGTAGCCTGGCGTAGCTGTGTCTCCAGTCAGCCATTCTAAGAACCATTTTATGAAGCGATTCTCAGTATTTAATAAACTGGCTGACTTTTTTGTGGAGAGAGGGAGGGAGTGGGTTGTCTCACACAGTTTTGTCATGGGTGTCCTTGTTTACAGCAACAGCAAAGTGAAGTCAAACATCCAGAAGTCGCTGACTGTCCCTTCTCCCCTTTTTATGTTTACTTACCTGCGTGAGAAAGTGGGACATGTAATCTTACTATTCTGCAGAGGTTTTGCAGACTAATTCCTGAACTTTGTGAATTATGGATTGAGAATTACTGCTTTATAGAAATCTTCAGTCCCACTCAGGAGTAAGATCTTAGTAGCTGCCTAAATATTCTTTGGAGACTTCAGTGCCAAAGTTCTTATTTAGCAACTTTTTGGTAAGAATGAAATTGTTAACAACTAGAAGAAAAAATACCAGACTCTGAATTTCTTATCTGAGTTGACTGCAAGGAATTTGAGATGATAGTACTTCAGATCTCATGATTAAAGAGAATTTTGGTCAAAGAACAAGAACTTCCTGGAAATAAAAATGGAAATGAAATCTGTGTCTTCACTTTTATAATCAGATTCCTGATGCCCTGTGACTGACATTTTTTATTGCTGAGGGAGCAGAATACATGGGAAGGGGTTTGTTACAGTAAGTAAATGTTTGTTCTGGGGAGCTGTACCTGGATGTAAAAATGCCCTCTACTTGTACAAGGGAGGCTATAGACAGCTCAAAGCATTCAGATTAAAGATGATGACTTCAGTATAATGATTTTTGTTAGAACATGCGCAGGATTATGATAATTCAAAATTTTTTTACATTTTTTGTGGAAATAAGCTTCTCTGTTTAGTATAAATTATGGAAATTTGAAGTTTCACTGAGTTCTTCCTTGAAATGTTTTTACAAAGCTGCCATGAATTAGTAGTTAATAAGTATTTCTGTGAGAAGCCTCTGGAACCTGGACTTCCTGAAAAAAAAATTAAAGCTTGCTTTGACTTTATATTTGAGACACTTTTTGAACTACGAAGAGGTAGATGGCATATCAGTCCCTTGTAGGAAATAGTTATGGCCAATCTGTTTTCTGGCAAGCGTGGAAGATGCCTGGACTGGTGCTGCTCAGCCTGATGGAACGTTGGTTCAGTGCTCAAAATTTTACGCTACTCTGAAATATTAGTGTTTACATTATCCTACCAAGTTAGGCCAGCGTGGACAAGAGGTAGGACATGGGTTGTTGGTTCAAATGTGAAGAAGGGGAGAGGGTAGAAGGAAAACAGGAATAGCAGTGGGGGAGCGGGACGATGGACATCTGTCTCACTTCTCTTTTCTAGTGGTGGTGAGCTGTTAATTGTCGCTGTACCACAGTGTGGAATGACAGCCTCGTTTGGTTCCTTGGTTGCAATTTCTGTACATTTTTAATTATTTACACTTTTCTTTTAAACTCTGATGTAGATGCTCTACTGTTACTGGGATTGAGACCATACTGGAGCCGCTGACATCTGATATTCTTCCAGTCACTTGTAAATGTACAGAGGAGAAAAGTTACGTAAACGGCAGTGGGGTTTTCCTTTTCTTTAAGCACGGACACATTAGGTTGGGTAAGAAGAGGTTGTTGGGTCACTGGTGGCAGAGGCTGAGGTTGTGCCTGTGAACAGACTGATGAGGATTATTTGGGACTTCACTCTTGTTACTGCTCAGTTTGAAAAACTCAACGGCCTCAACTTCTGTGAGGATGTATTCAACATCTCCAACCATAATTTGCTTCAGATTTTCATTTTTTTGACCACCATTTGGGTGAGGAGTGAAACTATTTTCTTTATTCCTTTTGGTGAAAGCATTTTATGTAGTGTAATGAGTGTTGGACTCTTGATCAGAATACAAAACCACAACTACTTTTTTGGCAAAAGGAAGTGTTTTTATGAAGTTCTGTTTTGCCTGCAGATAGTACAAAAATAATACAGGCTAGTATACTTTGTAGTATCTGGGAGTAGCTATCTTAGTTAATTTCCATTGTTTATTTTCTCATGCAGTCATTTTTTAATGCAATACCAACAGCTTTAGTTGAAAGAGCTTTAAAGCTGTTGGTATTGCTTTAGAAAATAAATTATTTCAGATTTGTGTTCTTCAGACACTTCATGTTTTTGAGGTGTATCCCTTTTGGTTTTTTTTGTATCTTTTTAAAAATTAAAGCATTTTTTTCTGAAGATTATTTCAATCTTAAGATCATTAATACACCGTATGATTAGCTTCCACCTCAAAATTACTATATTGACAACTTTAACAATTCATAGTTTACCTTCTGTTTCTTTAGGAAATAAGTTGTAGTTGAACCATGGTGTCAAGAGTGGTGTTTACAGTGTAGTCTTCTGGCCAGTAAATAGGCACGGAAGAAACTGAACTTTTGGACTTTAGCTTTGACAGTAGTTAGAACTTTTAGGGGGCAAATAGAAGTGATTTTGTATACACACACACACTCTCATTCACTCTCTGATACAATGTTTGGTGGAAGTCCTTTCGATGTGTTTTCCCAAGAATGGTTAGGCTTGGCCTGGGAGCAGAACTTGTTAAATGGCACTTTTACAGTAACAATTTTTAGGAAAGAATACTTAAATGAGCAACTAAATATCTATATTTTATTAAAAATGTAGTTTTCTTGGAGTCATGTCATCTAACTGATAGCCAGTGGGGGGGTATTTCTCCTGGTGTGACCTGTTCCCTGGGAAAATAGCAATTTGAATAGAATTTACTTTGTTAGTCAAAAACCTGCTGTCTTGCAGAAAGGATCTTGCTCAGCTTAGAGCATTGGACTTGCTCTAAGGGAGCCCTCAGAGCAAGAGCTCTAAGGGAGGGAGGGACACTTGCTGAACTTTCTGTTCTGTAATTCTGCAGTTCTCTTGTTCAGTAAAGCTTTTATTCCTTATATGACGCTTTAATTTCTGGACCTCATTCTGTTATCTGTCTTGACTTTTTATGTAATGCTTTATAGATGGCTCGTTGTCAAGTGTCCACTGAATTTTGGGGAACTGCTTAAGAGAGAAGGTGACTGAAGGACTGGTTAATGCATGTGTTACTGTTTAACAGAAATACTCTTGCCTCAAAACTGAGGTTACTCTTTAAAAACAAAACCAAAAAAGCCACACATGGATCCCTGGCTCACTCCGTTTTCATCTGGTCAACTAAGTTAATACTGTTTTAGAGTTTGGTGTGTCTGCCTTAGGATATATTCAGATGTGTTTCCTTGTCCTGAAGGGAGAAGAATGCTACACCACCTTTCTTGACCCTTTAATATGGGATACTCAGTATGAGAAGATGATTCTGCAGTATAATTGTCTCTTTCTTCTTAGTAAGCAG